ATTTCTCTTTATAAGAATGCTGAATTTCTTTGTCTCAATACTTTTGTCTTGAAATGTATGATGCATTTCGCGATGAAATCAGTCGAAGCTAGGGACCGGTCATTATTTGTAATCCGGAGGGGTACAGGTGGAATCGGAGGATTTTGGTAGTATTAGAATAACTTCCACCTAAACCCGCCTCAAGGCTCTGTGATATTCGTATGAGTCCCCACCCCACAGTGGCCAGTCTATTTCCGTCAGTCTTACTTTAAATTCTGTTGGCGACAACTTATCCCCACTTCGTTTCCCGTAAAAACCACGTGATCCCCCAAAATCTTCCTCTCCTGGCGATAAATAATGACAGGTGAGGTGGCCTTCAAATCTCTGCCTTTCAAAGATGTGTCAAAAAACGCGCACATTTTCCTCAGCGTGGTGACTTTAAACCTCCCTAACGTGTCATAAACAAGATGTAACACGTTCTCAAATATTGTGCCCATCATATCATACTGGATGAGGAAGTCCGATTTGAAGTAACATCCGCTACATCCTTTTTCCTTGCTTCGTGTTCAAGGTAACCGCTGTCTTCTTCGATGAGACTTTCGTCGTCGTCGTTGTCGTCGTGGTTATCGTCGTCGTTTGCATCCTGCTCTGGATCTTTCTGGTCTGTGGCTTTTCTTCGTTTCAAAGCAGAAAGCTTCGAGAAGAAGCTTTGAACCTGGCTCTTTGTTAGCCATTCATTTCAGCTCAACTTTCAAAAAGATGAACATATGACATAATCTCAAGGTCGTTGTCCTCTGCATTCCTCATAATAACTGAACTGACACGGCAGTTTATTATACCCTTTCCGAACAACTCAGACTGCTTTTCTCTTTATTTCAGATGGTTGAATTTCATGGCCCAGTCCATGACAATGAGGGAGGTATTTTTTCGGAGGGACGTGAGTAAATTATGTTTTGCTATCTCTTGATTCTTTGTCCTGATTATACGCGCCATCCACTGAAGAATCGCCTCTCTGGCTTAACCGTGGTCGTGTTTCAGGTCTTCTTTCTTCTCTATGCTGTCAAAAGTTATCAAAGGAGATTCAATTTCACTTCCGATTGCCTTAATCACGGATTTCAAACTTTCACAACTATCACACCTAGCTTGACGTTCATGGGAACAACTTCCTTGAAACTCGGGATTTTGGGGATCACTTATAGAAAACTGCATACAATGTTCAGGGCGAGGACTGCCATCTTGACAGAGCATCCCATACTTTGTCTACAGGTATCGGTTGGCATCCTTTGGCATTCAAACGTCTTCGGAGACGATTCTAATTCTGTCTGCTGGTGCGGCTAAGCTCTCACGAATCGATTTTTAGTAAGATCATAACCTTCACACCCTAGGAATTAAAATTATATTACTCACGTGATCCGACTGGAACTATCACTCCGAAAACTTCGAAAACATCTCTAGCCAGTCTGGCGTTGAATACTCGGCTTCCTTTCACTGCCTCACATTTCTTTTGAGCTCTGGATGTTGACAAGTACTTTTAACGCATTTCCAGTGTTTTCCCAAAGCATTCCGATGTTTAGAACACACAAACATCCGTTTTACTCTTTTCATTTCGAGGCCAAAATGACTGGAACGAAGCAAAATTAACTCGCACTCGGGGATGATAGATGGTAGTGTTTCAAATGACTTGAAACTCTTAAATATCCGCAGCCACTAAAATGTTTGCTTTCAATGAAACACGTAGACATTTTTGTGCGATATATTTCTCAAAACATATAAATAACTGAACAACCTCTCCTCTCCGCAATGCAAACACGTAGGTAACAGATTTAGCTAAAGCGAAGAGGCTGGATCGAGGTCTTGTAGAGCCTTTGCCCCCCTCAAAAATATTGAACAGAGCGGGGAAGGTAGACCAATGTAAGCTCAAATACCATCCTCAATTCCTTTACTTCAATCTATTTACAACTATCGATTCTAATTCGTTACATCGACTACTTTTCAGTTACAATTTACATACCCGAGAAACAAGTCATGAAACAAATGGACTAGTTGACATAACACGTCACACAACCCAACAGGCCGGGTTTGGTTGCAGGGAAGACTGAGCTCGTCCCTCATGAACGTTGTGGACTGTAACAACATAAAATCTCTCGTGATGGCAGCAAATGCTCAGAAAGGAGGGACTGTCGATTGCATTCCGTGTCCTGAGGCTCGGTAGAAACTGCAAAAATTCTTGCAGAAGGTTGTTTTGTAAATAACACCGTAATGTACATATATTTTAACTTGTTTGTGTATCCTTTTAAGCTACACAGTATGTCTGCAATGATCAGGATGCCAAATTGGATTCTTTAATATTGATTGATCTTCTCTACTCTGTAGGAGGCTCTTGACCTGATTTAAGGAAAATTATCGAGGAAGCGCCTTCCGATCGCCTTTATTTACTTCTAAGTCATGCAAGCGTTACCACTGCGTCACTAAGTCATGCAAGCGTTAGGAGGTTTTTCTCCGGGTACTACGGTTTTCCCCTCTCTCAAAAACCATCATCATTTGAATTTATTTAATTTAGAGTTTATTTAGATTTACACACGACCCCACAAGCTGTTCAGCTTTAAACATTATCGTGTCTAAATAAAGGTGTTATTATTATTATTATTATTATTATTATTATTGATCATGTTTATCCAACGTTTTTGGACAACTCGCGATTTATTTTCTATCCAACTGTTATGAAAAGCTAAAATACTTTACGTAGAAGATAAACAAACAAAGTTAGAACGGTCAAAGACATATCCTAGTCATTTTTCAGAATTATGCATTTATACGTGCGTGATTAAGTAAAGGCATCGATTTGCGTCGTTTTCAAGATGATGATTGTTACGGTG